TCTCTCTCTCTCTCTCTCTCTCTCTCTCACACACACACACACACACACACACACACACACACACACACCTACACACACACACACACACGTGTAGTAGTGTATAGTTCGATGTTCTAGCGAAAGATTCATTTGATTTTGCTCACACTATCAATGGAATTGGTGTGAGGCCAGCCACGGGGTTAGTGACTTACCTGTTGGGCCGTGCATTGCTCAACCTATCGATGGAAAACTCTCTCTCTCTCTCTCTCTCTCTCTCTCTCTCTCTCTCTCTCAACAGATGATGGATTGTCCATTGAGAGAGAGAGAGAGAGGCCCAGCCTAGAAAATAATCATAACAAAATGTGGGCAGACTGGAAAGCAGCAGGAAAATAATGATGATGAGAGCAAAGAATGGATCTAGTATTCCGTTTCCCAATAGTGGGCCTCACTCCAGTACTCAACATTGGAACCTATTCCGACTGTTCATGGACCAAATACATTCGGTCCCAATATTCTAAAAATGTACTAAGACCACCAGTTGGTCCAGATATATGATGTGTCGTTAAGTGAAGCCCAGTGGCTAAGTTCTACAAGCGGGGAAGATCGCCACAGTGATTGGGGGGAAGGGGGGGAAGGGGGGGAACGAGACTAGCTGAGTTGGTACACCCATGAACTGTTGAATCACAGACCAGAGTTAGAGTCCTGATTGACATTAAAAGGATTTCACACTGTCCGTGTGTCTCGACTCCTGGTCCCAGAGTCCCGTGTCCCTGTCCCAAAGTCTCACTTGAGCCCAATCCCTGTTAGCCCTGGTAGGTCCTAGAGTAGGCCCCAAGAGTCCGGTAGGTCCTGGGTCTCGAAGCATAGTAGGGTCCGGTAGTTAGAAGTCTACAGTCTTCCACCGAACAAAAAACACGTTCGTTAATTACAAATAGAAAGCACGGGGTGTGTTYTATTCATATATAACGCACGTGCGTTATGCTACGGATACAGGGTACCAACTTTCCAAAATGGGGCCCCAAAAACAATTAGTACCCTGTATCCTTACTTGTCCTTCGAGATTAGCATGGCCTTTGTGCACGGATGACACGCATAAATAGAGAGATTGTCCAAATGTAAGAAAAAAACAAAAAACACAACAGCCCGTCACGAAGCTGGGCGGGAGCAATCGGGAGGCAGTGGGCCAGAACGAGGCAGGGAGCAAGCAGGCGGGAGCGATGGGGCGGTTCTGTGTATGTATGTGTGTGATGATGTGTGTGAACACATATTGCGGTAGCCTCAGTACATAAGAAATATGCACTCCAAATCACTGTCATCTCACAGGATACCCTCTATAAGGACTCGTTGCAATTTTCACCACGTTTCCTAATTCTCATGCATCTACCCTCAGAAGCCAAGCAATCCACACACGCCCCTAGAGTTCAACAGATGGGTCATGGGGAACGGGATACAGAGAGAGAAAATGATGGGAGGAAGAAGACGACGAGGGAGAAGAAGAAGAGGAGGAAGAAGAAGAAGAAGAAGAAGAAGAAGAAGCAGGAGAAGAAGGGGAGAAGAAGAGGAAGAAGAAGAAGAAGAGGTAGCAGGAGGAGGGGAAGACGGAGGAGAAGAATCATATGTACGTTTGATTAACACCGCTCATATAATAATCGGAGATATGATGAAGAGTACTAGTTTATTTAACGAATCTCAGAATTACACATACACAATCGTCGATCGGAAGGAAATCGATGCTTCGGATAATAGTTACAAGTAGGAAACACCAACAGTGGATTTCCGACATTTTCTAGGCATGCACATGAATCGAAAGCTTCATTCTAGCAAACATGCAGGCTTTATCCAATCATGACTCATTTCGTGAGTAGATGGAAGACAGAAATCATGACAATCTGTAGATTTTTATGCACGATAAAATCCAAGCTGGAATACATTGTTTCTTCGAAGAAAATACACGAGTGATCAGACCCCACCACGAATCTATCGGTAAGCCATCCCAAGATCGTTCAGAAAATTCCCATATTCAAAATCCTATAAACATAACTCCCGTAAGTACCAAAGATATAAACGGGGAACTTGATCAACAAGAAGACCTCATCCTTGCTTCAGTGCATGGTCATGATTCCACTCATCTTTCCCACTACACGATAATCCCCTCCATAAACCTTCCCTATGAAAATGCGAGCACACCCCCCCATGCAACCAGTAATACTAAGCAGAGTCAGGGAAGGAACCATAGAGAACAACCAATATTATCTTGATGAAATCCCAACTGATCGAGTTCCGAACCACAACTCAGAAACGTAGATAAGGTAGAGTCCCCAGAGGGGTTAAAAGAGGTCACCACTCCTCGGTATGTCGGCACTCGGGAATGAGCCATTTCCCTACTTATTTTAATGAAACCTCCTCATTGTATCAAAAATGTGCGACCAGGTTCATTCTAACCCACTACGCATGTCATAGCTGCACACAGAACTACCAAATGTACGAGCTTCGTGATTCCCAAGAGATCAGTGATGTTACTCAGCACAGGCTCATAAACACCAGTTCTACCCAGCCCTCGCCACATCAAAATCGCTGCACGCAGTAACTTAGGACGCCAACAGACTCACCCATGTATCTATCGTTCTACATAGATAGTCCCCCTGCGCCATTCGTTACATCAGTCCTCGAGAACAGCACATCCCCATACTTCTCCGCAGTCGAAAGCGAATATAGATCCTATACTTCGTTGTTCACTCCTAGAAACCGTATCTGGACCTCTACGCTGCTCCTACGCACAATCAGTTCATCGAGAGTCCCATCCCTACCGTATGAAAGTTACCTTATGCCCACAAGTTCCCTACAATGATCATCGTATGAGGACAACGTTCTCAGACATATGAGTCATCAACCAGTATTAAACACTCACTTCTAACTAACAACCCCTTAACTGGAACTAGCACCCATCGTCACTCAATCAACTCCATTACCAACTCTCCGTGATGATCCAGGAATAACTAGTTCACATGGTATGAGTGGTGTCAACCCCTTGCGCGAAAAAGACCATCAGATCTCCCGTTGCTGCAAACTAATGATAGACTGCGAATCATTGTTCGAAGAATCTGCACAGGACTGGTAACACGACTCCACGCGTTGGGCTGAGGTGATCCAAAACAGCGTCATCCCTGCTTGAGGTAAGCATTCCCATCAGTCCAAAGCATAGCCTGACCACACATGCATACGGACAGATCCCAAATGCACACTCCCATCATCCCAAAAATCCAGAAAGCATGTACTTTTCCGAACAGAGAACAACATCATAATAATCAACCCCCCACACGCAACCATACGCAACCATACGAAAGGCAACCGGTAAGCATTCATGGGATCCAGATACTTTTCCTATTATCAAAGATCACGAGAGGTTCTCGAGCATCAATTAGCAATCACCATTATACCACAAATTAGGGTAGGTGAGAGAAAGTATAGTCCCGACCGGCTAGGGTGGTGGCAAAACATCCTTAAACATGTTTTTCGCTATTCTTGCCACAGAATAGCTCATCAGAGGTGTCCAGTTTGGACAGCACATCCCGCGACCAACTTTACACAAGAGATGTATGAGAACCAATCTTACAGTAATCAGGATAGACCGAGAGAAATAATAGGAGAGGATGGAGTTAGATCGTTCAAGGGGAGGGAGACGAGGAGGAGAAGAAGGGAAGAGAAAGGGGGGAAAGGATAGGGGGGAAGAGGCAGTGGAGGGGATACGTTGCAATCAAGATGGGGCGACCACATCACCTCCGGATTGGGAGCAGATTCGGCGATTCCCTCCTCAGCAATATGTAAGTTGAGCATCTCTTCGAATCCGAGCGCAGCGTCCATGGTGGGACTAAAGGATTCTTCTCGCTCCAAGCACAAGAGAGAGCACCGGGGTAAGAGTAACGGAAATCCCCACGGGGAGTAGGGAGAGAGAGATCGTGACCTTGGCTGATAGCGCGATGGATACCCTCGGTAATGACGCAAAAGGCGCGGCGGTCAGCTCGCATGCACAGGACGCAGAAAGAGCGAGCAGCGCAGATTGCAGCAGCGTCATAGCGGGCACGGTAGTCCGCGTGGCAACACGCAGTCTCGAACACGACTATCCTTGTGAGCATCCCCGTTACGAGGTGCGCGTTCGAATAGGCGCGGTCGACACTTCGGTGAAGGAGGATTAGCATGAGGCTAATCCTTACTATAAATAGCATGAGGCCCATAGTTCCATCATTCCGGAAGGTCCCCGCCGTTTCGGCCATTTTCTCAACAGGGTAGGGGGGTACAGTGGGCCCGGTACATAGGGGTCCGAAATTAGCAGACGGAATCAAGGGATGTTCAGGAAAATTCTGGAGAAAACCAATGTACATTGCCCTGATTATAACCATATTGATTATTTTATTCAAGTTATTACATAGGTCATAGCTAACATTGATCTACAGTTCAAATCCGCACATCCTTTTTGCTCGTAATGAGCTCATTTGTTGTCAATATCCCATAATATTTTTCCTTTTATTATTTACTTATTTTATTATATATATCTTTCTGGGGGGGGTGGGTTCATCGGGCGGGTTTTTTTTTAGCACACCATCAATGTTCAAAGGAAGACTGTCTGTGTGTGTGTGTGTGTGTGTGTGTGTGTGTGTGTGTGTGTGAGAGAGAGAGAGAGAGAGAGAGAGAGAGAGAGAGAGAGAGAGAGAGAGAGAGAAAGAGAGAGAGAGAGAGAGCCCACCCGTGTGTTCTATTTGAATAGAACATGCATCTGGTCAAATAGAACATGTGCGTACTATTCAAATAGAGCATATTTCGATTTCGAATAGAACATATGTGCATACTATTCAGATAGAACATATGTGCATACTATTCGAATAGAACATATGTGCATACTATTTCAACGTGCGTACTATTTGGGTTTCTGGGGGCGCCTTGAGAAATGGACTTTTCCAGGGAAAGTTGAATAGTACATAAGTGCATTTTGTTCAGGGAAAGACTGTAGACCAGTATCCGACCAGTAATGTCTGAAGGCAGCATCATGGGAAAGCCCGGTAGCTTCCGGGACTGGCAAACCGCAGACAACAGGACGCATCGGTCGGTACCGGCCCTGATCCGACACTGATTCACTTTAGCTGGTATTTATAGATGCTACAGTGCAAGCAGCAGACCACTCTTGTCGATTCAGATGTTGCGGAAGCTCTGCTGTAGCGCTTGTGCAACCGAGAGTTGCACAGTCGGGTTGAGGAAGGCAAAGGGTCAGTCAAAGCGCCATAGCCAGGGTACAGGAGGAGGACGACAGCGGCCAGAGCCGCGAGGTAGAGGTAGAGGGCAAAGGTCTCCACTGGGTAGGGGTAGAGGGCGAAGGCGCCCAGTAAGCCGAGGTATCCAGGAAGGTAGAATAGCAGTCCAAGTCAGAGAGAAGAGCGAGAGAGAGAGAGAGAGAGAGAGAGAGAGAGAGAGAGAGAGAGAGAGAGAGAGAGAGGGAGTGAGTTGCTGCTGTTTGTCATCTCGGCATCTAAACAATTTCAATTTTGTATAATACTGCGAGAATAGGATTGAAAGTCTAAATGTGGATGTGTTTTTAGCAGAAACGCAAAAACTTTAAGGCAGATCAATCCCAATTTTTTTCGGCACCTTTCCACAAGAACCAGATTCAGCCATTGAATCTTCTCCTCTTTGCGACTGGGACCTTGCCCCAGCAGACACCGTGGCCTTCAACAGAAGAAAGAAAGTGGGGGACAATCCTCGGTGCGCGGTTGCTTCTTTCATCGCAGGAGACAGGCCGAGGGAATTTCTGTGGAAGGAGCTACAGATGGTCTGGACGAGTTCCACTCGCCGCACTAGGCGACTGTTACTAGTAGAAATAGTAGAGAGATAATAGGCAACTAGCGAGTATGATAGCTATTAATAGGAGGTGCATTGAGATAAGTTGGCTTCTTTTGTTGTGTGGTTGGGTTACTAGAGGTTTGTTATTTCTTTCGAGTAGGAAGGAAGGTGGTACTCAGTACTTGTAGGCTTGTTTGTCTTTTATGGCGTTGGAGGCATTCCTTCAGTTGTTCTTCAGGGTTGGGAAATGTCAGGACAGTGGTCGTGAGTTGGCCGTATCTGTCACTGAACATACCCAATACCCCAATGCCTGCACCTAAACTGGGTAGTGGTCCCAGCAGCAGTTTCATCCGGGTTGTTTGTGGAGGGATTCCAGGCCTCCGAATGTTGCTATTTGGTAATAACAGTGTCCTCTTTCTTTGTAATTAAAAAAAAAAAGGGGGACAATGGGTAGATGTTTACAATACACGAGGGGGACATTAATGGGCAGCCAATCATTGATGCAACACCAAGCTCGTGTGGCCGAATGGCAGACCCATATAACGCTACAAAAACTGTTGATAAACCAACAAACCCGAGTTCAAATCCTGATGGAGTAGAGATATACAAGTCTAGACTTACCCCAAACCCGACAGCTCAACGGCAAATTTTTTTCTTTTTTTCCCTTTTTATTTTCTTTTCTCTGCTCTTCTTTTCTTTTTCTTTCGCACAGTGACAATACCTCAAGGCTGTGGCACTTATGAAAAGATGAAAGAGAGTGTGAGCAAGTATAGCTGAAAAACAAACATAGCTGAAAAACAAACACAAGCAGCAAAATCATCCCCAGCCAACCATTGGTCTGCTCCTCCGGGGAACATCCGTTAAAATTGGAACGATACAGAGAAGATTAGCATGGCCCCTGCGCAAGGATGACACACGTAAATCGAGAAATAGCCCAAAAAAAAAAAAAAAAAAGAAGAGGTCTGAGACCCTAGCCCTGAGACTCAGGGCATAGGGCCTCACTCCACTATCAGGACACTCTACATGCATTTGGACAACTTTCTGTAGCAGATGTATTCAAAATGTTGAACTCATCCCATGCACCTGGTCTAGAAAGTATCCAAATGCATTTAGGTAGTGGAGCGACGTGACAACTCACACTAGGAATTTCGTTCTTATTTGGACATAACTCCAGTCAGATGCATCCAAGTAGGACCGTAATTACCGTTACCGTTCAATACATTTGAGATTGTGCTAGTGTGAGTATGCTCTGAAAGGTGGCTCAAAGCTACATCCACACAGCTGTTGATAGAGAAAGCTGAGTTCGAAAAACCGGATGCTACAGTGCAAGCAGCAGACCACTCTTGTCAATTCAGATGTTGCGGAAGCTCTGCTGTAGCGCTTGTGTCACCAAGAGTTGGAAAGTCAGATTGAGGAAGGCGAAGGGTCAGTCAAAGCGCCATAGCCAAGGTACAGGAGGAGGACGGCACCGGCCACAGCCGTGAGGTAGAGGTGGACGGCAAAGGTCTCCGCTGGCTAGAGGTAGAGGGCGAAGGCGCCCAGTAAGCGGGTGTATCCAGCAAGGTAGAAGCAGTCCAAGTCAGAGAGGAGCGAGAGAGAGAGGTAGAACGAATGTGAGAGAGAGAGAGACAGAGAGAGAGAGAGGTGGGGGGGGAGAGGGAGTGNGCGTATCCAGCAAGGTAGACGCAGTCCAAGTCAGAGAGGAGCGAGAGAGAGAGGTAGAACGAATGTGAGAGAGAGAGAGACAGAGAGAGAGAGAGAGGTGGGGGGGGAGAGGGAGTGAGTTGCCACTGTTAGTCATCTCGGCGATCGCGGCCGTTCACAACTTGTAAACAATTTCAATGTCGTATAATAATAAAAATATCGCCGGTGGTGTTCTTCTTCATGCATGCTGATGCAATTTCGGGTGACTGGTTGTGAGTGCTTGGCTAAGTTTCAGCGTGCCATGTGACAAGTTACAGGTGCTTGCAGTTCATCTGGTTCATTACAACCTTCATGAATGCAATGAAACAATTCTGAATTACCTGGGGCTGGTCAACTCACTTATATCTGACTAGCCAATCATTGGTCTGGTCCTCCGGGGAACATCCGTTAAAATTGGACGGATACAGAGAAGATTAGCATGGCCCCTGCGCAAGGATGACACGCGTAAATCGAGAAATGGCCCAAAAATGTGGGGTGGCCGGCACCTTCTTTTTCATGCAAGGAATGAACAGTTCTGTTACAACAAAAAATAGTAATAATAATAATAATAATAATAAATCATTGGCATGAGACCTCACTCCACTATCAGGACACTCTACATGCATTTGGACAACTTTCTGTGGCAGATGTATTCAAAATGTTGAACTCGTCCCATGCACCTGGTCTAGAAAGCGTCCAAATGCATGTAGAGTGTTGGGTAGTGGAGCGACGTGAATACTCCCACTAGGAATTTTATACTTACTTCTGGACGTAATTGCGGTCAGATACATCCAAGTAGGGCCGTAACTACCCTCCACTACATTTGAGATTGTGCTAGTGTGAGTATGCCCTGAAATGTAGCTCAAAGCTGTTAGTAGAGAAAGCTGAGTTCGGAAAACCTGATGGACTAAAGAACTCCGAATGAAATGATTTCCTCCAATGGGTACCATTTAAAGAACTGTTTAATAGTATACCAAAGGGGTGCCTGTTAAAAAAAATATAAAAAATGGAAAACCTTTCCTCCACTGAAATGTTTTTTTTTTTTGTGTGTGTGTGACTAGAAGAGAGGATTTCACCAACAGGCTACGCAATGTGAAAATTGCACTTGTATCGACAAAAAAAAACAAAGAAAAAGATTTCAAAATTTCAGGAGTATCAAGCATCCGACAAATAGTCGACTCAAAGACTGAAGGAATCAAGAAAAGAGAGAGAGAGAGAGAGAGAGAGAGAGAGAGAGAGAGAGAGAGAGAGAGAGAGAGAGAGAGAGAGAGGAGTGATAGACGAGCAAAGTACGGTGTGAACCACAACTACGTTAGTAATCATCAATCCGTATGAAAAGACGGGACAGACCGAAACAGAAAAACAGGACAGACAGAACGAAGCAGAAAAATTAAGAGAACGATGCATAGATGAGGCGACAGAATATTGATGAAGAGGAGGATAATACGCAAGTAGGACAAAATCCCGAACGCGACTTATACGGAAGATAATATCAATCGGCCCAGCGGCAGGGACCTGACTAGTTTCGGCTGGCCCGCCAACCAGCCATCCTCAGGGGTCTTGGTCGTCGTCGCCGACGAACCTGACTAGTTTCGGCTGGCCCGCCAACCAGCCATCCTCAGGGGTCTTGGTCGTCGTCGCCGACGAAAAGTGTCGGGGAACAGGGGGGGGGGAGGATGATCGCGACCAAGTGAGGGAGCAGCCGTAGGCACGGGAGGAGGCAGGGAGGGGGTAAGGAGTCTGTGGGGAGGTGAAGTCGGCGATCGGGAGATGGGGGAGAGGAGAAGGATGGGGGAAAAGGGATTGTGAGGAGACGTCGATGTTGGTGGCGTTGGGGAAGGAAGGGGGAGGAGGGAAGGCGAGAAAACGACAATGTTGGCGGGTGGGAGGAGATCGGAATGCTTGCGTGGGGAACAGGGAATGAGGCGGGATGAGGGTGCGGGTGCATGAAAATGAAGTAAATGGGCTCTGTCTGCGCATGAAAGAGAATGGAGTAGATTCTCTCTCTCTCTCTCTCTCTCTCTCTCTCTCTCTCTCTCTCTCTCTCTCTCTCTCTCTCTCTCTCTCTCTCTCTCTCTCCCCCCGCCCCCAAAACCGGGATAAGGGGGAGGTCAGAGAAAGAAAAGAGGGGCGGTCCAAAAGACGAATGAATGCAGCTCTGTTCTTTTTTTCTCTTTGTTTGCGTAGCCCGTGTGCCCGCATGTACACGGAAGGAAAAAAAAGAAAGGAAAACAGGTAAAGCAATCATGGAGGAAAACAGAGAACATATAAAACATGATCGACACGAAAGCAGCCCATGGCGGGGAGACGCGGGGGGAGAGCAAGAGGAAGAGGAGGATAGCGGAGGAGTTATACTCGGGAACAGACGTAAACAACTGTGATTGATGAGCAAGAGGGGGGGGTGCAGGAAAAGGACAACAATGGGCACTCTCCCCCTCATCCTCCCCCCTTTTCTCCTTCTCCCTCCTCTTCCCGACTTCTTCCTCTTCGTCGATTTCTCTTTTCCTCCTCCTCCTCCTCCTTCCTCTTCTTCTCCTTCCTCGCCTTCTGCTCCTCCTTCCTCTCCTTCATCCTCTTCTTCTTCCTTTCGCACTCGGTCGCTAACTATATCTCTTCGTTCGTGCGGCAGCCTATCGGGATCTATCTTCGGGAAATTCAATGTGTCGACCTCGACGCCCTCTCTCTACTTATACTCTACCATCTGCACATACACACTCCTTCCCCTCTGCTACCAGTCTTGGGCCTTGGCCAGTCGCGATGCACTTTGCAATGCGGCTCGCGGGTTCCATCTTTATCTTCCTCTAGGTCAGGATCCGGCTGGATACCTCTCTCTCTCTCTCTCTCTCTCTCTCTCTCTCTCTCTCTCTCTCTCTCTCTCTCTCTGTGTGTGTGTGTGTGTGTGTGTGTGTACCTTGAGGTCTCTCCCAACAGGTGAATACTCTGTACTGGCGGTAATGTTTAGAGAGGGAGAAGAGGACAACAAACGACGGGCTGCGACATATAAATCGTCACACCGTGTACGGGAGCGCAAACGAGAAAAAAACGAAACAGAAAAAGGAAAGAAGGAAAGCTCCGCCTGTTCATCACCTCTTCCGTACAAGGCTGGTCACGTGGGTGATGGTTGAGCACCGGCTGCCCCCATCCCCGTGTGTCACAAGGACCCACTTGCACGCAACCAAGAGACAAAGTGGTACAGAAAAGAGGAGGAACCCAAACCTCACTTGTAGGACAGAATGCTTTCAACACAGCCAACAGATACGGAGTTGAAGAAACGAACACAACAATCCAAATATACTCAAAGAGTGGAAGAAACGGAACCACAACAGAGGGCCCGCAATATACAGATGCCATTCCACATCAAGGAGAAATGGCCGACAAAAGATAAAAAGAACACAGAAAAAAAAATAGAACAAAAAAAGGAAGGTAAAATCTGTCAAAAGGAAGAGCATGCGCCTGCTATATATCGTCAAAAGCATTCCTGAAGTGATGTGCGCAAGTCACGAGAGAGTACGACTTAACTGTAGTGCCACTGTAGTGGCAGACAAGACAGATTTCCCATCTCCTACTTGGGGCGTCACTCCACTACTCAACAAATATGCAAAATGACAATAAATCTTCCATTACAACATACACCGCCTTATTTTTTGTCTTCTGTGCATGTGCGGAGTAGCGGAGCGAGGCCCTTCCTCTGTCTCGACATCATCATGGGCTGTCGTACGTGCCAGACAAGAATTCACACGCCGTAGACGTCGAGGGTTGCCACGTGCCGCTGCCTGGTCTAGTCCTGGGTACCAGCAGCCACGTTAAATTAATCAGGAAGGCGTCTCGATTGCAGTGGACTGGCAAACTCTCCCATCACCAAACCACAAAATTGAATTCAAACATGGTACGCCAAACGTGTTACGTGTGGTAGCCCACGTGTCGCTCATGATTACAGTCCTTCACAGTGACAGAGGCAGGCCAGCCATTCACACGTGCTGAACGTGTTCCACGTGGCAGACCCGTGTCATACCTGATTTGACTCACCAACAAGTACGAATGCATACATGCTACGACACGACAGGGGTAGCCCNCCCGTGTCATACCTGATTTGACTCACCAACAAGTACGAATGCATACATGCTACGACACGACAGGGGTAGCCCAACAAAAAAAAAAAAAAAAAAAACAATAAACGAGGGAGCCGAGCTGTTCATAGGCAGGGAAACAGGGTTCGACTTACCTCAGCGCGCTGTTTGTTGAAGACGATCCTCTTGGGCAACGAGCTTCCGCCTCGCAGCTCCTGACGGCTATGGTAGCCTTCAGATAACTCCCCTCCTATTCGAACCTCCTCTCGTTAGCTTTCCACCTCCTCTTCCCTACTTATTCCTCGTCCTCCACTTTATTCTTCTTCCTTTCTCCTTCCCCTTCTTTTCCTTCTCCTCCTTCGTCTACACTGTCGCTCACTGCAGCGGCGCATCAGCGTCCGGCCGACTCGGATCTTGTTTTTTTTTTTTTTTTTTTTTTTTACTCGGATCTTGTTAGCGCCTCTCCATTTACACTCTCCCCCCTCTACTATGCCGCGTCTCCTCACTCTGATCGTGAATAGAAGGCGTGAATGCTAGAAGACCATTGGCCCCGCAGCTAGTGCTGCCACGAGCAGCAACAACTGCGGACTGATGGGCGGGAAGGCAAGCAGGCAATCACTGGCGGTTCAACCGGACAAGCTAAGGATTAAGAATGAACTTACCCAGGATTCGCAGCAGCTGCAGACTGGGTACCGCCCTCGATGCTGGAAGCAAGGCCAGCAGGGGTGACGCGAATGGGAGCCTGCAGGTACCCTGGATTTAAAATATCCGCAGACCCCTCCGGAAAGGAAACCCCCAAAGGAGGACTAGGCACTGGGCCGGTAAGAACAGAAACTAGGGGTTCAACACCCCTATCATTGACGGGCTCACCCAAAAGCCTAGAAGAAAAATCGAAAGGATGGAAAAAAAAAAATAAAAAAAAAATCGAAAGGAGCATTGCCGCTTGAAGGACTTGCGCTGACTCGCTGGTAAGGATGGAAACGGCACGGTGAAAAGGAAACGGGTATTTTAACCGGCCAGGCAGTTTCTCCCTGCGCTGTTTCTCCTAGCGAATTTTCCACTCCGCGATTGCGAACGCTCCGATCTCCGTACCTGCAACGGTGCACAACAGAGTGAGACCTTCTGTTTTCCCTCGCGTTCACCACGCGAAACCTCGCCTTCACGATTCACTCACGGAGAAAGATTTCAGTTAGTGGACGCTACTCACCGGTCAGGTATTTCCTTCTAACCATAGCTACTGCAGTAACCCTGTTCAACAGCAGACCGGGGCTCAGAACTTTGCCCCCGGTAAGACACAGACTCAGTTGTCTGTGCTGGGCTATGTGACCGAGACATGCCCAGCCTGAGTCTGTCGAGGAGGCTGTGTGACCAAACGCAGCACAAGGGAAATTCAACAGTCAAAGACAACTGTAGAGTCAAAGGTACCGTACCCAGGCCTATGGACGGATACATTCACTTGTTGTGTGCAGGTACCCAGACAGCATTCAGGGCGGGAGAAATACAGTTTCTGGCCGATCTGGGCCCTCATTCATATCGAGATCTGGACGGTGCARGACCTCAGTACCCGGGGTCCAGACCCGCATCCACGCTATTTAAGAGTTGACTTCCTGGCTGGAGAACATTCAGTCTTGCGTGAATGCTGACTTCACGCGTGGACTTCCTGGCTGGAGAACATTCAGTCTTGCGTGAATGCTGACTTCACGCGTGGACTTGACGCTGTTGCTATGCTGCGACATTGCGACATTGGCTTGAYGCMGGCTATATGCTGGCAGAGGAGGAYAGCAAGGCGCTGCTGGCTGGCAAGGTGCTGGCTGGCGATGGTCTTCTGGGCATGCTGACGTGGCAGCTGCCATGCGCCGTTGCTGACGTGGCCGCTGCCACCTGTATATGATTGATGATGTGGCTGGCTGCGAGGTTGATGAGGCTGTTCTGATTCTTCGTCACTTCGGAAGGAGATCAAGACTGTGGTAATCGAGGATACGTACCTGGTTGATGACGATACTCTCCATTTGCTGATGTAGACAGATTGACGTATTGTTTATCCTTTCTTACCCAGTAAAAAAAAAAAAAAAAAAAAAAAACTTGGTGAATGTATTTCACCGCAAATGTCGTCCAAATGCGTTCGATCCAGCGGTATTTTATAACGACTTTGGAAAGCTCTACGTTAGGAATAGTTAGTTCCCGCTATGTAAGAAAGGAAGAGGACTGAAAAAGGGGGAGGAAAAAAGAAAAAAAGAAAAAAAGAAAAATGATGGGAAGCACTCTCCATGGGCTCGTCCTCGTAAATCGCCATAGTAGTCCAAGTGTTTACACTCATCCCAATGCTGTGTGTCGCCCCGTTTTTGGCCACGATTCAGTGATACTCGTAGGGACAGCTGAGGTTGTGATCAAGTTATATTCGTTGTAGCCGTGATCCCGACTGTTGTTCTTCGTCCTCGTCTTCGCCGTCACGGATGCGGCAGCTGTGCTCATCCGATTTGCTGACCGTAGTATTTACCATGGCGGCCTTCGAGCTCGAACATCTTGGTTCTAATCTGTTTCTAGCCGAGATTGGCGAAGCGGCTCGTTCGGGGTTGCACCGTGACCTAACCACGACTAGAGAGAAAGCTCACTCCCTCCGTTCGAGAACATATAGATGCTTGGTGAGGCTTGTTCGGGTGGCGAATTTCGGTTTAATCACGTTGTTTTGAAGATGAACGTACCTGGATAGGATCCCTGCTAGGTTCAGCCTCGTTCAGGGAAAGCTCGGCACAAGTAAAGCCTGACCGAACTCGAAGATAAGGGTCGTAGCTGTGAAAGAGATCCACCTGGGTTGCGAGGTGCGAAAGCGCGAAAGGAAGAAGGCTGGATCTGGGAATGAAGTCGCGTCAGACTCACCAAACTAGTAAAAAAAAAAAAAAAAAAAGGGGGGGAGCGATGCATGTATCTCCCCGTTTCCTATAAGAAGATCGTTCTCATTTCGATATTGGGTAAATAGCGGGGTGGGGGCTCGCAGCGGCACCGATGAACAAATTGTTCGGGCGAACGACTGATCATTTACCAACTTACCTGACTCAGTTGGTACACCCACGAACTGTTGAAAGACAGACCCAAGTTCAGATCCACACGATGAATGTCAAAATAATTTGGGAATTACCAAGGGCCAGTCAGTTCAATGATGTTATCTCAAGGTTGTCGCCTTGTCATTGGTGGATCTTTAAGCAGCATCTCCGTAAAAAATCCAATTGCTGGCATTTTCTAGTGTAGACCCGATCTCTTTGATCAATTTTCTCTACTGGGTATGATTTCATTAGAGTCTTACGACCTCCCTGATCAATCACTTTCTGTTCAGATGGGAGAAGAAAAACAGATAAGAAGTATGCCCTGGCCGCAGACAAATTCCTGAGGGGTATCTTTAGTTCTTCAGCAGGAGTACCCGGTGGGCCAATGAGAGGTCTCACCACATTGAGCGTTTTGTCTTGCATGGTCTGTTTAACTCTTTGCGCCCATGAAGGTACGGATGAGTTTGATGGGTCTAAATTCTTGTTTCCAGATTGGTTGATGCCATCTTGTGAAGTCGTTTTCTGTTCAGTCATCTTCATTTCTACCTTCTCTTCATCTGTTAACATCTCCTCATCTTGTACCTGCTGAGACTGTTCCTGTAATTGCTCCCCTTCTTGTAATGGTTTCCCTTTCAATGCTCTTGTGTGGATGATTCCATTTGCTCCTGCTGACTCATTTGAACTTGTCTCTGTGTCTCTTTTGTTTGTTTCCTTTGATCTGCCTGCTCTTCCTTGTCTTGGAAGCTGGATGATACTTGTTTCTTTGTCTGAATTTTCCATCTGTTCAAGACTTTGTCTCCTTTGGGAGGTAGTTGAGACCTGTGAGGCATATGAGACATCTGCTGACTGGGCCCATCATTTGCATTTCTTGAGGCAGTTGACGTAATACCTACGGCTGGTCTTCAGTATGTTGTTGAGCCCAACTGTCTCATGAGGGTGTGTCCCATTGCCCCCTGATGCATGCAGACATCTTCATCACTGTTCTTTTCCAGGTGAAACTCTCGTTCCCTTGGGCTTGTGACAATAAAATGAGTATATCTGAGATGTAAAAGACAGTCTTATCCAGAGGCAGACTGGAGTGGAAAGGTCGTAAAAGTGGGGCTGATCCAGTGAAAAAGCCGTCTACGATGGAGAGGGATGAACCAGGATCTAGGAGGTGAGAACTGGCTGGGGGGAGAAATGGAGGAGGAGCGAGGTGAGGATAGAACAGGGTCCAGGAAATGAGGAAGTGAATAGTCAGCGAAAAAGGAGTGGACAAGCGGCAGGAAAGGAAGGGGGAAAGGAGGGGGGGAGGACGGGTGGAAGAGAAACCTCAGGCACATGCTTGAGACAGATGAGGGAGGGGAGAAAAGATTGGTGCGAAGGGAGCGGTTATCGTGTGAAGAACTACCTACGTGTAAGAAATTGTTGTAATGATTGAATTGATGTGTACATTACCAGATCAGTGGAGGATGAACAATATCATAATCATGGAGAGAAAGGAGGGAATCTTTTGAAGGAGAAAGGGAGGCAGGGACGAGGGGAGGAACATTATCTGAATTATGGAGAGAAGTGAGGGGAGCTCTTTAAGGGAGGATGGAGGGGCGAATGGTGGAAGCACGAGTGAGGAAGGCACACCAATTAAACCACCAGTACTTGGGTGATGCCTTAGCGTTAACACTACACGATTTCCGCGGCCGGCGGGCCGTCGATAAATCGAATCGACAGCCTGTGCTGTTTTGAGATTTGGGCGGCCGACACGGTGCGCAGTGCCAAAGTACTGGTGGTTTAAAGAATTGATGTTATTTGCATTCAAGGGAGCCATCAATCTCTGCCGGGAAAAGGAAATCCTACTTGGGTATTAACTTTTCAGTACTATTAACTGAGTGTTTCTTTCATTCAGAATTTCAGGATTGTTCTTTATGTTAGTTGTTACATCAGCATTGGCTTGGAGGCCTCCCAAAGAAATATGGGGTTATATTTCGGTAATTGGCGAGGGATGAATAGTAGTCTTGACTTTCTTACTTGTTAACCTGTGGTCTGTAGTGAGTTGTCCTTGAATGACTTGGGGTCGTACCACCACACCTTCATTGATCGCCAATCACTGGACCACTCCGTACTCTATCTGTTCCTCCTCCTCGCCTCCCCTCCTCCTCGCCTCCCCTCCCCCTCGCCTCCTATTGACCCTTGCTTTTACTTCACTTAGTACGTCTTCATCACCATCCCCAGCATTTGCCTCACCCTACACTCCGTTTGCCTCCACTAGACTCCTCTTCTACTTGACAGGGTGGACTTGTAGTTAACTTTTAATATTAACCATTCTCAATATCAAATCTAAACAATCTTCTAGCCTAGCCATTGCGCATTATCACATGACTGATCACCAGAACTGGCGTGCATCGTTATCCCAATGACCTTTCTCTTAGTGCCAGACCCAACTCAGTCGCCCGATTTGTCATCCTCACTGATGCTGTG